TTGACCAGGAAAACTATAGGAAGCCACGTAGATCACATGTATAGAGTATATATATATATGTATATTTATCTACTAAACCCTAAACCCGTGTGGAGGTGACACGGAAAACACAATTTTCTGGTTGACAGAGTGATTGCCATCTTTTGGTTTTAGGGTTGAGGTTTTGGGCTGCAAAGTTAGGGGTCCAAATATCCCCGTAAGCCACAATAAGCCCTGAACTTCCAAAGGAAGACCTAAAACCTACTCTACAAAAATGCATATAAAACCAAACTTTCAACCGGAAACCCCATATCTTCGGTTGGGCTTCGGGCCTGCAAAAATGATGAAACAAAAAATGAGTTTAGGGTTTAGGGTTTAGGGTCGTCGTTGTCTCTCCGGGTCGCTACGGGTCGCCAAGAGAATAACCTTACGAGAACCTCCAAAACAAACATCCGGGCCCTGAGGCCTCACCCTACTTGTAACTAACAATAGTATACACACATCTAATGGTGTATATAGGGTTACGGATAAAACCCCAAGCACCTACAGATTTATGGGTAGTCATACCAACATATGAGGGGGCAATTGCAACGAAGCTACTAATAAACTGTGAGTAACTGGTTATGTATACACTGTAGGAAGTTAGATAAAAGTTTGGGGCATATAAAAGTAACCCCGTCCATATCCACTAGGCCTCCTGAACCACGGGCTCAGCAGTCTCAGCAATGTCTTCGGCGATCCGCACCTGAAATGCTGCGGATTTGCAGCTACACGGGGCCTTAGGGTATTCAGGGCACTTGGGCGGCTTAGAGATTGGGATTTACGGCCCGGCGTCTACAGTAAGGCATTGATGTTGTTTGAGGGTGCTCAAGGCATTCCGGGGGGGGTCCACTCCCCCAAACAACAATGGAACCTCCAAGCGGCCTTGCAACGAATTTGGGCTTGTAATACAAAGCCTATAACATGCGATTCTGCAAAGCCTCAAGCCTGCAAGCTCTTGGGGTACTGGTGAAACATGCCAGTTAAGGCCTGGGTTTGAGTTGGCCGAAGGATTAATGAACACTGCCAATTGCGTGAGTAGGAACAGCAACAGCGGTTCTCACATGAATGGTGTTCAATGAGTAACAAACATTCACCTTGTCAGTGCTGCTAGGGGAGAATGACAGGGCGCAGGACGAGTAGTGGGAAGAGGAAGAGGACTGCAACAGAAATGGAGTTGAGAGTTTAAGGCTTGTTTCCAAACCAGAGAACATCAACAAACATCTAGGTAAGCTTCGTGCCGAATCTCCACATGGCTAGCTCCCTTGCGGTGTTTCAGGGCAAAGCTATTTGAGAAGGAGCTCTTGCTGGGAATTATGGGGATTGACCGAGATGTGCCGGCTTACCCGGCATTGATAGCTCTTACCTCTATTGCTTCACAGTGTTCTCCGGGCTCTTTACTTCTCCGGGCTCTTTACCCACTCGCGAGCCCCTGTAGCTTCACACCAACAACATGTCCAAGATTTCGGGCTGAAGGATGCCGCTTCAACAGAACAATGCAAGCCATGACTGCAAGGAATGTGAGCGTGCAAATCTTCTTTCAGACCATTATAAGCCCCAGGAAAAAATCCAGTGAAACCTGCAAACACCCGAAACTTGATCCCCACACTCGGATGAGATGTCTGAAGAAGCGGCTGGCCTCTATATGTGGGGCTAATTTTCAAACAGAATTTAAAGAATCATCTAGACGCGCCTTGCGTGGACTGGAGGATGTGTCTGTTGCAGGCACGTCCTCCTTGTCCTGCTGGACCTGGAGCACAGATGTCTGGCTCAGGGCCTCCTTGGAGTGGAGGTTCATGGGCTGGGGTGGTATATAGGGGTTATATAGGGGATAACGGAAAGCAAAATGGAAACTACCATAGTATATAGAGCTTATATAGGGATTATATATAGGGGTTACATGTGGGTTGGTATAAGTCGAGTTGTAGATGTCGAAGCCTGGGCTTCAGCTAGTTAAAGCGAGGTGGTGATCAGGTTTGCAACCCTCTTCTCACACTAACCGCCCAAGGGTTGAACTTTAGAATGTTGACCCTGAAATACTGCTTCTGTGCATGCGCTTAGTCACTGTAACGTGACGCCTGAGGGAAGGTGCTTATTCTTCTAAAGAGTAGTCTCCATTGTATTTTCCATTACCCCAATATGACCCCAATATAACCCCAATATTACTCCAATGGGTACCCCAAACCCTGAACCCTATCCCCTATAAACGAAAACAAGTCCGGTTCGCAAGGGCCCGCAACTGCAGCCATGATAAGAGCCAACCCTCAAAGTCAGAATCTAAAGTGGAATGGGCACCACATAGACCACGTAAGGTTTAGGGTTTCTCATTTTGTGGCATCACTCCCAAAACGTTGAAGTCTAGCTGGCTGGATGACACTTACCAGGGTTCAAGGTGAAAGCTTTTGGGAGCCAAGAAAACTTAAGCCAAACGTTCTTGTTTGTGGACGCCTCCACCCAGAAGCTCCATATTGTGACTGCGAACCATCTCTCAGTTCATTACGGGTTCCCTGTTGGGATTCGTCGAACATGTATGTGCATACTCTCCATTGGGTTTCATAGTACAAATACAAAAACCCTCTGGAACACTGCGCCACAAGCCATTTAGAGTCCTGCTGTTGGAACCTCTCCCTAAACTCTAAACAACACCCTCAACCCTAAAACCTAAACCCTAAACGCTCAATCCCAAGCCCTCAACCCTAAACTACTGTAGTAATTCCATGTTCTTTCCCATTATCCCCTGTACTGCACCCTTCCGAGAAGAAGAAACCTCAAAGTCCCAAACACAGTGATCTGGCAATTCTTTTTGTATATATAGGGTTTAGGGTTTAAGGGTTTGGGGTTTAGGGGTTTATAGGGTTTCGGATTTTAGGTTTAGGTTTAGGGTTTATAGGCTTTAGGCCACCCATTGGGGTAATATTAGGGCCTTATTGGGGTTATATTGGGATAGTAGAAAAGAAAATGGAGTCTACTGTTTGTGCCCCCCACTGCCGTGGAATCCTTCTTCTCAAGTAACCGCGGCCAAAACATCCGTAATCTCAGGGCCCCGAACTTCTGCGCAATTCACACAACCTCTGACAATTGAATCCTCAATCCGTGAACATCAGGCTCTCTCCGGATCCACTTCTTCGGAAATGTTTCAATTAACTACAGGCACAGCTTATGTTGACTTTTTCCAGTTGGGCGCGGGGGCCCGCCATGAAGCTCCAAACTCCATGAGGTCCATGACCCTGCGCCCCAAACTTAAACCCCAAATCCGCAAAAGTGGCCCTCAACCCTATCGTCATGAGAAGCTAGACGGCATCCACTACCCGCGATGGACCCCCAGCGTCGTCTGGATGCAGTGTTGAAACCATGAAGCCTAAACCCTAAACCCCAAATTTCCATTTGCTTTTCCATTATCCATATACGACCCCTATAACCCCTATATCTACTGAAGGGGAACTAAACCCTAAACCCCTAAACCCCCTAAATGTCCGAAACCCTGTGGCTCGCAGATGGTGCTCCAACGGACCAAGGCAAGTAAGACCGTGCGACGAGAATGACCACGGTGTATATCCCAGAGGGTCCATGTACCCAATAATTAGGTACTTGGGATTTGGGTAATAAAAAACATAGTACAGGTTTTGGGTAAGTATCTGATTATGGGGTACATGGGTCCTTAGGGTATAGGGAGGATCTGAAAGGGTCCTATGAGGGTCGTAAAGGGATACGTTGTGGGGGATGTGCAAGATATATAAGATATGTAGGGAAGTATACAGGGATGTATTTTGGGTGGTCTAGGGCTTAGGCTTACATAGGGATCTTTCAAGGACATTTTCGGGATCGGGCTTCTGAGGATTTCCCAAAATCAGGGGTCCTTTTTTGGGGGTACCTATACTGGGGTCTAGACTGGCCCCCCCTGAACCCTAAGCCCTACTTGTAGAAACTACCATATCTGAATCTCCAGGCCCTCAGCGCTATCCCACCCTGCTCATCTCCTCAAGGGGCGTGCTTGGGGGTTCATAAGAAGGTACTTCTTGAATTCTAAGATTGCGGATTATAGCCCTAATGTAATGTGGTAGTTTCCATTTTCTTAATCCCAAATATAACCCCAATATAAACCTACAGAATGTAGTAGTTTCTATTTTCATACGTCAACACCCTTGCCCTGATAAGCCTCTGCGTCAACAGTCGCATCCGCGGAGTCCGCAGCAGGAAGCGCCAAGGGAGATGCATCCCCAACATCCTAGAGAAAGGTCTGGGAGAGCTGCCCTAAACGATCCCTATCATGCGGATTATAACGCTAACATAATATAGTAGTTGCCATTTTCTTTTCAATTATCCCAATATAACCCCTATATAACCCTAATATAATATGGTAGTTTGCATTTTCTTTTCCATTATCCCAAAATAACCTTTGCAGAATTGCAGCAACCTAAACAATTTGAATGATTAGAACTGGGCTTGGGGTACGTTCACAATGTCCACAACGATTATGAGGACATCACACTTATTGTGGGGCAATATTCCTATATACCCATTGAAAAGGACCCAGGGTTTCCATTTCAGATCCCATTTTCCTGCCCATTCACTCTCCATTCATTTCCAGTATAACTTATAACCCATTAAACTGTAGGTGAAAGGGGATTTTAGGAAAACCTAAAACCTACACCCGAAACCCTACACCCCAAACCCTCATCCTAAACCCTTTAATCCATTAAGCGGTAGGTACTTCTTCTGGCATCGACATGATAGAGTGGGCCGCGTCTTTGGACCTCCCTCAAAAGCTAGGGCTAAGCGTGTAGCGGTAGGGACCGCCTAAAAGCCCTAAACAATCATGTCCTGTTGGAGCAACTTCCAGCCAGTAGCTAGGATATAGCTTCAGAGTTTACAGGATTTCTCTGTTGTAGTTGTTATCTTCAGGATGAGAGCTTGTCAATTCAAGGCAGATCCCCTACATACCGCCAGCTCCTAAGCGCCAAGCCCCCCACAAAAAAGCTGTCCTCTATTTCGGCCGTCCCATCTTCCACCGCGGCCGTCAGCACATCTGCATCAGGCTCCTTCAAGCGCGTTTTACGGATTGCGGTGGCTTAATCATAAGCGCAAGGCCTTCAAGCATGAAGGGCTGATGGTCTGGAGTATCTGCAAAGAGTGGGCAGGCCTCATAGCTTGCTCCTGATTGGGATCATATTGAAGCTCTGTGTGCTTTTCCCTTTACTATCATTATTGCTGTTGTCAGTCTTATGATCATTCTTATTGTGATTCTTATTGTTGTTCTTATTATTGTTATTATTGCTGTCATCTTGATTCCTTAATATCATTACATATTTGCGCTTAGAAGATGAGAAAAACTAAGAACCTATGGCCAACAACGATCCTGGTAATGCTGAGGTCCTACCCTAAGCAAAAAAAATGTCTACACTTCTTAGTCTTGTGTCCTATCCCAAGGAATCCGAAAGATGCCCTAGGGCTCCCAATGGCCCAATGTAGGTACTACTTATAGACATTGCGGCCCAATGTAGGTAGTATCTACACACACGGAGCCCTACATAGCCCCTATATAACCCAGTTTCCATTTTGTTTTCCATGCTCTTTTCCGTTTGATTCTCCATTCTTGAGTTACTATCTATAGACGTGGCACCCCAGAGATGTACAGTGATGCCAAGATCCGGATATGCCAAATATTTGTCTGCGCCTTCGGACCCTCATGCGAGCTATAGTCTAAACTCCTAAAGTGGGGCACATAGGGGATTATATAGGGGACTACTATAGGGGTTATTAAGGGGGATACTAGGAGTTAAGACTTTGGCTCATTTAAGTCTTGCAAAGTCTCATGTCAAGGAGGAGGCGCGCCTTGCCTCTACGGGTTTAGGGTTTACCCGTGACCCCAATTACCTACAGCTTTATGGGTTATACCTACTAAGTAAGGGGTAATAATTAGTATTAAACTGTAGGTAAGTGGGGTTACAGGTAAGGTTTACTGCCCTGCCTCTGGGCTTAGGGCTTAGGATGCTACGATTATTCTCAGAGCTTGGCTCGAGCTAACCTGTAGCCCCCATCCCCTAACGTTTGCAACTAATTACCGCTTAGTTAATAAGTGGAACCCATGAGACTGTAGGTATAAGCTACTGCCTAAATGCCACTGTCCATTTCCTGTTCCATGTTCTTGTCCATTTGATTCCCCAGTGTCGGGGTAATCTCCCTAAACCCTAAACCCTAAACCCTTATGTAATTAGCACTGTTGCCTGCTGCATGTGGCTGTCCATCTCCATGTTTGGCACCGTAGCCACATCTGGCTCTTCGGTGCTAGGCACCTTCACACAGAGGTTTAGGGCTTAGGGTTTAGGGTTTAGGGGGTTCCTTATGAATTTTGAGCTGGGAGTTTCCATAAATAGAAAGCCCAATATAGGGTTTATGCTTTTGGTTTAGGGTTTAGGGATAGAATCTTGATGCAAGGGAGGCATAAATTGTGGAAACCACCAGCTATGACAAATCTCCCGCTGGGAATGTTCCGGGTGGTTAGAGAATACGGCTGAGCGCAGGAAGGGATTCTGTTTTTGGTTTAGGGTTGAGGGTACTTAGGGTTTAGGGTATAAACTACCCTATATTCCAGTTTCCATGTCATTTCCATGTTCTTTTCCATGTGATTCTCCATTATAGGGGGATAATATTCAGTATTCAGGGTTTAGGGGCAACCCCCCTGACCCCAAACACTCGGCATCAGACGTGCGTGCAGCTTCGCAGCTCCAAATCCTGACCCAGAAGCCCGAAACCCTATAAACCCTAAGCCCTAAACCCTATAAACCCTAAGCCCTAAACCTATAAACCCTAAGCCCTAAACCCTAAACCCTAAGCCCTAAACCCTAAACCCTAAACCCTAAGCCCTAAACCCTAAACCCGAAGCTGCCCACTACACAACTCTACTTCTGGACATCATCTGCGAAGACAGGATGTCACCATCGTCATAGGAAAGAGAAGGCTCCCACTCTGCCATCCAATCCCCCGCCACTCAAGAAGACAGCAGGGCTGATGAACTCATTGGGGTGATATTGGGGTTAAGCAGGGATAATTTAGGTGGACCCCCCACCCAGTACTAGTAAGTATAAGGGATAATACGAATTATACTAGGGTCCTCATATATTCTTATTATACCACTATTACAGGGTGGGGGGTCCTCCTAAGGGATAATGGACAAGACAATGGAAACTACTGTATAGTCTGTTGGGGTTATATAAGGGTTATCTCTGGTGTGGAGGCTCGCATTTGCAAGATGGATTTGGGTATGTAGGCGAACTGTAGCAGCAATACCATTATCCTTACACGACCCTCCATATGCCCCAAAACACACCTCATCAGGTTTCCAGGAAATTCCAAAAAAAGTTATCTCAGAGAAAACGGAACACACCAAGCAGAACCGGCTCAGAAAGACGGCAATGGCAATGGCTTTCATCACTCCCTCCTAATATTAAGCCCCCCAGTACAAAACTACAGGTTCCCCAGAATTCCAAATTCTTATTCAGGAGAAAAGGATTACTTACTGTACTTTGGGCCTTGCTCTATTGAAGCGCTGGGGAAGGTCCCCTCCAATGTGAAATCATGAAGATGCTCGGCCACCCCACTGGCAGCGCGACGAGCAAGAGGCCGCCCATAAATCCTATAAATGTTGGTTTCCGTTACTTCCCGCGCCCTGCTCTACACGTCCCTTTAGAGCGTGCAAGAAAACTGCTCAAATGGATGGCGAGTTCAGCCCTGAACCATAGCCTGTGGCACAGGCCCATCCTCATCTTCCTGCTTCGCCTCCGCCTGATCGGGTGCCTGCCGAATCCATCACCGTCAGCTTTTGAAATCAGATGGGATGGATGTCTGGGATGGTGCCAGCTGCTTTCGTTTTTGCAAGTGCTCTTCTGCCAAGATTATGATGAGTGCAGGAGGTTGGGACAATCCGACACAATTCCTCATGTGCAAAAATGTTAAGATGCTCTATGCCCAACTGGTACACACGTTCTTCCAACAAGTCCTTCTGACAGCTCTGGAAAATGACAGTGTGGGCACACGGACTCTCAGACCTTGGGAGGGGTGCCCTTGACAGCAAGCCAGATAGCCCAGTGCATGCTGATTATGGAAGTTACCCTAAGTGATACTAGGATCCCTTTATCATGGAATATACCCTAACAAATGCTAGGATCCCTCAATCTATGGAATCAACCTAACTGATACTAGGTTTATGGAATTTATCCGAACTGATACTAGAATCCCTAATTTGATCTGAGGTGTAAACCTTAAATTAGGGGGTATTGCGCTCTCGGGGAGTGGAGTGGCATTTTGCCGCGTGCCCGCTAGTTTTGTGTGGGTCGATATTAGCTCAGTGCTGTAGCCGAGAGATTGCGACCGGCCATGATTGGATACTTGGGATTTAGGAGGGTTCTTGCGATACAGGTGTCTGGGGAAGTCTATGTTGGACAGTTGTAGTAAAACACTCGTCCGGAAACCACTTCGATTGCATGAGTATCTGGACCAACATCCGTTTTGACGCGAAGCAGTGGTCTTCACAAGTTAGTCAACATGGACAAACAAGCCCTTCAACTGCAAGTTCTGAAGCCCAGACAGTGAGTTGACAAACTAGGGTCGTTTTGTTGAGCTGCACAGGCCTTTCGGAAAACAGATCCTGAAAAGACCGCTTGAATGCTCATGTGGACAACAGCCCAAACCCCTGAACCAGCCAATCACTCCGGGCTCCCCCTTGACATGGAAGCCTTGGAACCCAAGCTTTGACCCCTGTTCCGTAACCCCTGGACCCTAAACCCACAAACCCTGACAGCCCTAAACCTGTAAAAATCATAGTCCCTGCATGACTTACACCCTACAGCCTACAGCCTAAATAGTACATGCCATTGTCCAACCCTAAATTCTAAATCCTAAGCACTAAATTCTAAGTCCTAAGCCCTAAATCCTAAACCCTAAGCACCAAACCCTAAGCCCTAAACCCTAAACCCTAAGCCCTACACCCTCTAATTGAATTCTACAAGCTCTGAGGGGAGGCGGCCTCCAAGGTAGGCTCACTCGCAGTGAAGGCGCTGAGGCCAGGGTCCTGCGATCCAAGGATGCTGGTTTCGTCCTAGATTCTATAGGGAATATACAGGGCTTATACGATCCAAGAATGTTGGTTTTTCGGATATTATGTAGGGATTGCTGAGGGGTGTAGGATTTAGGGTATTTAAGGTATTTAGAGTTCAGGGTATTTAGGGTTTAGAGTGTAGGGTACTTAGGGAATTTAGGGTTTAGGAGTTATACGGGGTTATGTATGCTTATATACGGATTTTAGAAAGTTCCTTAGAGATGATTTAGGCTAAAATAGGATTATATAGGGTTCTAGTTCTAGAAAGATTGTGTTGAGGTAAATTGGGATTAGAAAGTGTTCTAGAGGGGTTACATAGGGTACTATAGGGATGAGCTAGGAAAATATTGACCCCAACCATGGGAAATCAAATGAACAGGACATGGAACATAAACAATGGTGGGTTTAGGGTTTAGGAATTATGGAATTCGGGGCTGTCGGCTTTTGGCTAGCCGGGAATGAAAGAATGTCAAAGAAAATAGCAACTATATACTGTATCGTTGGGGGTTATGTGGGAACTGCTGCCAGGATCGATTCATTCCTTCCTTCGTTATTGTTACTTGCCAACCAAGGGTCAGTAGGTAGATGTAGTGCTATCCATGACATTAATGATGGGAGACGTTCAAATAGCACCTGGCTACAACTCGGTTTTCCTTACCTAGTTGTGAGCAGCTTTAGCGTCTGGGGTTCAAGGTCTAGGGTCTCAGTTTAGAGGGCTAAGGGGCTGAGGTCTGGGTCTAAGCTTTAAGGTCTACGGCGTAGGTTTTTGGGTTGTAGTATCTGAGGTCTAGAGTTCAGGCTCTAAGGTCGAGGGTTTCGGGTTTGAGATTCAGAGGATGTAGGTCTCAGATCCGAATGAACCTCAGTCAGCCCATGGCCTCCAGTAGGTGCATCACATCATGAAATTGCCAGTGTATCTGGATGCCTTGCGCTCTCCAAAGGGTGGGCTGAATTTTGTATCTGGCGTCCGTGGAAGCCAGTTTCACGCCGAGCTGGTATCGGCCTCAGGGTGGATGCGTACCAACCTTCTGCCCAAACGCCTATGCCGCAAGCCGATTCTGGGATACCTGAAGTTCTGCACACGGCGCTCTATACCATGCAAACGTTGTCAGGTTCTCTTGCATTGGAGTTGAATCTCTGCTGACTTTGGAACCCAGTAAAAATCCTCACTTTGCTGCTTCTGAGGACGATGATAAGCAAAATATATTCCCAAAACAAGAAGCGGGCGGAGCACCTGCCTTGGCATGTCCTTCAAGCCCGTATCCCTCGTTTGAGACTACATCTTAGACCAACGCTGGAAACACTGATGATTGCTCTGAATATGCTTGTGGCCGGTGAGGCTTCCCTTGAACATCGCAGTGAGCGCTGCTTTGGAAACCCTTTTGTAACGCCAATCAACAATTACGTACAATATGATTGGCTAGACCTACTTATTAGGGGTAGTCAATTCCAAACGGTAGGCGATGGTAGGATTCTGGGATTACAGGTAATCCCTGAAGACTTATAGCTGAAAACCCTATTTCGACCATTGTGATTACGAGTTCATCCAATGCGGCGAAGGCGGCCTGAACGGTGGCTCGAAAAAGCCCTACACACGATATCAGCGATTCTTGGCGGTTCAAGATTAGCTGGGTGGTGTGTTGAAAGACCCCAAGACTGTCTATGAATAGGTTCCCATACACAACATAAGAGAAAGAGTCATCTTCAGAAAGTGCTTCCTGATTTCTCCTCTTATAGGTGTTACATGCCAAAAAAGCAGAGATCCAAAAAAGCAGAGATAGTCTTACTCCCGTAACCCTGGATACTACAAGATCGCCTCACATGGCTGGTCCGGCATCCTGTTTGCCACACAAGCTCTGATGTTGTCACTTGAAACCTGTTGCAGCCCTTCCCATATCCCAGCTAGCTCATCATTCTATACCTAGCTCCTGGAAAATCTTGTCGTTAGAGGAAGTTAGAGACCCAAGTTTGGCTCGAAACATGTTTCAGGCTACATACTGAGCTAGTCTGCTACTACTGACTTTCTTAAGCCCCTAGACCCTAAACCCTAAACACCTGAGCTCAATTGCATCCTCAGAGAGGGGCACGTCAGCATCGGCTGGAACTGGTGGCGTAGAATCCTTCAAGGCAGATCTGGTCTTGAATGCCAAACTTACAGGGGGGTTATTGGGCATAAGGGTTTAGGGTTCAGAGTATACGGGGATTACATGGGGATTATATTCCCCTTATTCCCTAGTAAGCCCCAACTAAGCAAAGAATAGGGTTGTATCTGGCTTTTTGGGTCTAGACTTTTATAATGACTATCAAGCTAGGTGGTCCTTAGGGATACTTGCTTGTGCATCCCACGAACTTGGCAGTCAAAAACGCTCTGTCTAAACCCTAAACCCCTAAACCCCAAACCCTGCACTCTGCATCTCATCAGCTGACGAAGCGCAGAGGCTGTGAAACCTATAGACCCCAATATACTATAGTCCTTTTTATAGGGATCCCCAAAAGGGTACCCCTAATTTTGGGAAATCCCCAAATTTCCTACACACAGAAGACCCCAACTGTCCTGCAGTGCTTCACAACCTTTTACCCTGAAGTTGCAACCCCTACATACTAGTACTTCCTCAGCAGACTCCGCAGCCGAATGAGCTATCATGGAGTTGTGCTCAATACGAATCTGCAGAAACACGGTCTGAAAAGACCAAACAGCAAGTCCTCCAATATTCGGCGTGGAGTCCACTTAGAAAGTAGATGTTGACCTAGCCCTTGCCTCCACTTATGCAGCCTTCTTCAGCAAGCCCTTCAAATTCCAAGGCTAGTTTATAAGGCTTCAGAAGTGATACGAAGGCAGGCCGGGGGAAGATGAAACATTTAACACCAAAACCTGTTCTTAGGAAACTCAGAGGCCTCGGCAGCCAGGACGTTGTCCTTGCTCGTCAAATCCTCGCCTGGGCGACTGTGCAGGTCATGGTCAAGGGTGCGTGACAGGACTTCAAACATGCACCTCCGATTTCATTGTGCTCTTGAAACGACGTATCAAAGGTATGGTCTTAAGTGAGATTTGTTCGGAGCTTTTGCCGGCTAAGAAGACAGCTTCCAGGAAACTGCGCAGATCCTTGACAACAGGATTAAAGACCACTCTGATCTCTATCTGAAACGCCACCATGCACTTGCGGTTATCTCAACAGTGCCTATCCCTTGCAAAGCACTTCAAATTTCGGTGAAGGCATGCATGTCAAAGCCATGCCCAAGTGAGGCCTAAGGGTACGTTGCATCAACAGCTTTGGCCGGGTTTGACTTGGGATGCTTGCTCAAAGTTTAGGGTTTGGGTTAAGCTTGGGTTGCTATAGGTTTGCTGCAGAGCATCACAATCACGTTCCAGATTGTGGGGTCCAGGAAGTCAAAGTAGCTGGGTTCAAAAAGCCCAAGGAAACCCGATAAACCCTCAACCCCTAAACTCAAGTTGTGCAGGTATAGCCAAAGCGCTAACATCCGTTCAGCAAAAACACCCAAAACCAGAAAGGCAGGAAGGCAACAATTAGACAAGTCCCAGAGGCGATAGTTCTCCAAGGCAAGTTTGTAGAAATGAAAGCTCACCTACCGTCCTACAAGCTTTCCAGGCACAGGAGGAACACTGCGAGGGCAGTGTATCATGCAGTTCACCAAGTCTCCCTACTGCTTGGTATGGAATTAAGGACTGGCTTACACTTAGACCCTCCACCTACCCTCAATTAGTGCCGAAGTACCCACTATCAGGGGCGATGTATCCCTCATTAAGGGTACTAAGCGTCTTGGCACCCAAATCCTTCTTTCGTCCCAGTTTCCATGTCATGCTCCGTTGTCTTTTCCATTGATTCTCCCTTACTCCCATACCTCTATACATTCCCAATGATTGGTATATACTAGGAGGGTCTTGGTATTAGGGACTATATTAGGGGCTGTGCAAGGACTGCTATGCAAATCCCTTCCCTAACTCTTTCAGGGTTTAGGGTTCATGGCCCAAGGCTCTGAAACCTAAGCCCTTTCAGGGTTTCGGGTTCAGCCTTCATCTCTGAAACCTAAGCCCTTTCAGGGCTTAGGGCTCTAAAGCCTAAGCCCCCGTAAATGGTATAGTAACTTCCACTGTGTTGTCCATTCCCTTGCCCGATACACTTTAAATACCCCACACCTACGAAACACAAGGTAAGATGCTTTATAGTAGTCTACATGTTTTGCATTTCTTCGGGTAGATTTGTTCAAAGGAATGCCTAAACCCAAACCTTAAGCCCTATGCCAGGTGTCAGCGCGTAGCATGGCATTTTAGTAAACGATACCAGGGTTGTGTTTTTGGTGGTTGAACCAAGTAAGATTACATCCTATATACAACATACTATATCCAAAAGGAGGCTCCAATCTTGTTATATATTGGATACTATAGTATCTCCAAACAAGATACTACTCACCAGGAACTCAAGTCAACAGCGTCTGCTCAGAGCGCCACTGAACGCTGTGTCAGAGCCAGCTACTTCCTCAGACCTGCTCACGGATCTTCAGCTAGATTCCAGCATTCTCACAACACAGGGGTCTCCACAATAAGAGTTATATTGGGATAATGGAAAAGAAAATGGAAATTACTATATTATAACAAGATATATATTGGGGTTATATGAGCTGTAGTCTAAAGTCCGAGTATCCCGCTTAATACTGGAGAATCATATGGAAAAGAGCATGGAACATGACATGGAAACTATGATTATATAGGGATTATGCGGGGTTACAGTCTAAACTCCTAGTATCCCCCTGCAAAACCCCTATAATGATCCCCTATATAACCCTCTATTCAACCCCAAGCCCTAAACCTGCTGTAGGCATCTTGTTTCCAGATCTAGAAACCTTGCGTCCGTCCTTGCTATACTTCTCGTCATTCAAACCGAAAATGCCTCTGGCACCTCGGGGACTAGCGACATGAACGGGAGAGAAAGCTGAAGGATCACCTACCAACACCTGACTCATGACACATGTGCCCCTTGCAGCTTCTACTGGAATGCGGCGTACCGCGCTGCTAGCAGAGGAATGGCAAACAAGTATGACATGAGTACCTTGGTTCTTGCTTGACCAAGGTCTTTGCAAGAGCCTTCGCATGCCAGTTGTTCTGGCAAGTACTTGAAGCGAGGTCTTCTTCGGTCCCCCACCCCACAGGGACACCTGAAACCACACGCACCAATTGTCCTAATCAACCCCTATAAACACTCACCACGACACTCACCACTTCACTCTAAGGAGAAAAGCCGAATAATCCCAAGCATGAAGCCATACAACGCATTGCTATTTTTTTTGGGATCATTTTTCCTATTTAAAAAGAAGCGCATGACGCACATGCATGCCGGCCTTTCTTCGGCCCGGCCCACTTCGACTGGTGGCGGACCCTCCGCAGTGGCGTCCTCGCAACCACAAAGGGTTTTACGCATGGGTAGGCTACATGGTTTAGGGGTCAGGGGGGGGGTTATACTGTAGAAAGGGAAATGAGACGGAACTGGGATGATCTTGGGTTTTTTGGGGGCCAGTAAATGCAAATTATGAAGCCTAGGCCCTAAACCCTAAGCCACAGTTTAGAGATTCAGTTCTAGGACCCTCGGTGCAAAGGGTCAGGGCCTTGGTCTGGGACCCACTGGTTTTATATGGAGTTTGCAGTAACCCTAAACCCCTACACAGTTTTAGGCCTGGATTTCATGATGCTTATGGGGAACATACTGTTCGTTTCGATAAATAACTGTCAACCTGCTGACTACTGACGTATGGACTCAACTGAGAAGGGCAGTAGAATGAGAAGACGGTCAAAATCATTCTACCTAAAACCCTAAACCCTAAACCCTAAACCCCAAACCCTAAATCCTAAACCCCCAACCACAGCGGATGCTATTCATAGGCTTTACAGGGCTCTGAGATTGGAAATTCTTGAGGCAGGGTCGACAGCATAGGGACTCCTAAGCCCTAGACCCTGCAACTAACCTAAGGCTCCAAGGACCCAAATCATGGGGTTTTAGGGCGTAGAAACTACATTATTAATGGTATTTGGGCCCTGAAGCCCCAATATTTGGGTCCTTGGACCCTAAACCCTATATACCCCTATAAGCCTTTTAAAGGGAACCTATTATTTGGGTCCTTGGACCCTTAGGGCTAGGGAACACCACCAAGCCATCCAACAATTATTTGGAGTATCTTGGATGTCTAGGAGAGCCCGCGTCAATGAGGGGATCCCCTCTGGCCAAACACCAAAACCCCATAAACCCTATAAGTGAACCGTGAACCCTAGAAACCCCGTAGACCCAATTAACCCTATTAAACACCATTAAACCCTAGAAACCCTATAAACCCTATAAACCCTAGTAAATCCTATAAACCCTATTAAACCCTATAAGTAAACCCTAGAAACCCTAGTAACCCTATAGATCCTATCAACCCTAATAAATCCTATTAGACCCTATAAGTAAACCCTAAACCCAAGAAACCCTATAGACCCTATAAACCGTATTAAAATCCTATTAAACCCTATAAGTAAACCCTAGACCCTTCAAACCCTATAAACCTTATTAAACCCTACTAAAGCCTGTAAGCAAACCCTAGAAACCCTATTAGACCCTATTAAACCCTATAAACCTCATAAACCCTAAGCCATCCCCGACCCTAAGCGTCTGCACGCAAGCACATGTGATAGGCTCTTGGCTTTAGTGTTTTAGGGATTACGGTTTAGGGATTTGGGGTTTTAGGGTTTAGGGTTCTGGGTCACCGAAAACTCCTGGTGCCGGACGCGCCAGAAATCGAGCATGCCTGTAGCCTCTAAGGATTGTGTAACACGTGTAAGGTTTAGGCTTAGGGCAACTTAAATAGACTCCCGTTACGCCCGACCCCGGGAAACCAATAATGTATTCTACACAAGCCCCTTTAAACGGACAATACATACAAAGTCCACCGAGGGCCTCGGGTCGCTAAGCAGCTTCCAAACTACTTCAGTTCAATGTCCTCCGCATTCGCAGCCTCCGTCTCCAAGACTGCGTCCTTGGGAGCCATCGCCTCCTCTGAACACTGCGGGCTCAGGGCTTTTGATACCATGTACTCACTCGCACAGCAGGGCGTGATGAAGGGCCATTAAAGGCATTTTAGGGGTTGTAGGGGGCGTCAAGCATGAAGGTTCAAGCTGTGGGCGAAGCAGGCTCATACCCAAGAGCTCCATGGCGGCTATAGAGGAGTTATCGAGACTGCTGAAAGCCTGTCTGAAATCATGACGGTTGATAACTTTCGAAATCCTGCGCCCTAGACCACGTATGCAAACATCTTGACCGGGGAAGCAATATAGCTCACATCGCCAGGGGGTGATGGTATGAGCGGGGCATGCTTTGGGCTTAGGGTTAGGGTTTGGGGGCAGCAGCTTGCACTAGCAGGCCGAAACATGGCGCCACTCTTCTGATGCCTGGCCCTGAAGCCAACCACAGGGCCTTTGGGCTATGATCATGGGCACAATCCCTGCCCATCCTATCGCAAATCAGCCCAAGCCCTGCATTCGCAACCTCTGAACAAGAAGGATGACACGAATCTTCAAAGAGTGTTGCCCGCAACTGACAGTACATGAGCTATAGTCTAAACTCCTAGTAGCCCCCTTAATAAACCCCCTATAGAAGTCGCCCATATAATTCCTGATATCATCCGCACCCTAAACCCTATGTAATTCCCTATAGCTCACATTCATTCAGCTAATGATAGGGTGGATCCAGGATCCAAAGCCTAAAGCCCGCACGAGCCCAACATATGCAGCCCAAGCTTCCTGTCATTATTCTTATTACTATTGTTATGTGCATTTCTCCTTATTCTCATTATAACCTTCATAGTACCGTAATATAAGTATTACTGCTACTATCACTAGTATTACTAGCATATCATTATTAATACTTGAAGAATTACTACTACTGTTATTATCACCATTATTACTATAATTCTCATTATTAATATTACCATTATTGTTACTATTGTTGGTATTTCTCCTCATTCTCATTATTATGACATTTTATCACTACTATTGATCTCATTAGTATCGCTATTGCTCTCATCATCATTCATATCATCACTATTATTATTTCTTATTCTCGTAATTACCATTACCATATGTCTTTACTATTGTTACTATTACTGTCATTCTGGTCATTATTCCTATAACTACTGTTTCTCCTTTCTCAGTATTCCCATTCTAATACATTACGATTATTCTCATTTTGACACTATTATTTCTATTATAGTTATTCAGTAAGCCCGAAAGCCTAAACCCTCAACCTCAAACCCTAAACTCTAAAGCCGGATCATAAGAAGGCCGATGGGGTAGTTTCCCAAAATAGGGGGACCCTAATATAGACCCCAAAATACTATAGTCCTTAAATATGGGGACCCCCAAAATGGTACACAGAATTTGGGAAAGCCCTACATAATCGCTTCACCCTAATAATAAACGACGCCCCCCCCCGCCCCCCCTAATAATAAATAATCCGGGGTAGGAAATTATGTATTATAAGGGGGGAATATTTATTGAAAGGATTCGGTAGGGCCGCCTTTAAATTCCTTTTAAAATCAATTGAAATCGAATTAAAATCCCGTTAGAATCAATTGAAATTTGATTAATTAAAATTCCTTTTAAAATCAATT